CGCTGAGGCCGAGCCCGCGGCTGGGCCGCTTCCGGTCCGGCGGGCTCAGGCTCTGCGCCAGGGCTGGGCGCCGACTCTTTCGGCCTGCGGTCCCTCCGGGAGTTGGCCGCGCCCTCCTTCGCTCCCCAACGCCTCAGCAAATCCCCGCCCCGCTTACGGTAATACAGTAAAGAGGTAAGCTGATGGCGTCAACTTTGGAGAAGACAAGACTCAGAGGGGAGGGCTCCTGGGAGGCACCTGGTCCTACCTCTCTCCTCACCCAGCCTTGGAGGCTGAGCTTCCTCTGGGACCCCTTCTGGTGGTCCAGCAGGTGACGTAGGGCGGCTGGGCTGGGGGGTGCCGCTAGGGCTGGGCTCAGTACCCTTCTGCAGAGAGCCTTCCGAATGGAAACTCTGGTTACTGTTCTCATCTGTGGGAACAAAAGTCGAGAGGATTGGGTCTGAAGCCCTCAGTACCCTCCCTCAATCCCACAGACTCCCACTCCCTTAGTCTCAGGATCTCTACATACCATTGAGATCCAACAGGATGAGAGGGCCACCCCCTCGGGGACTGGCACCCCTACCCCGCCGCTCCCGGCCTCGGGATCTCTCTGTCCCGCCACCTGCCCTCCGTCGCTCCTGGGGGTTAGAGGGATAAGGGTCAGAGCCAGCTTTCTACTTACCACTTGCAAAGCCCCAACTCTACAAACAAGTAAACTGAGGGACAGAGAAGCAAAAGTCCCTGCATGAGGGGACACAGGTGGTGCACACTGGGTTAGGTCTTGAACTTCAGGTTCTGGAGCAGGAAAATGCGAGAAGGGGAGGAGTTATCATACTTGTTAACACCTGTCTGGGCTGCTGCATTCGAGGTCGAAAGAGTGGGGACTGGAGGTGGACTCCTGCTCGGGAAGGAGGTTGCCTGAGGTTGCACAGATGCAGGGTCTGATGTGGGGGAGCTTGCTCACCTCCTCCTGGGGGTCCACCACTGGCACCCACTTGAAGATACGAAGGGAAGTGTCTCCCACAGTCACCCAGCGCTTCTCCCTGTGAGAGGGTGGGAGGACTGGGTCAGAGGGGCCTGAAGAGAAAGCCCCCCAGCAGCTGGACACATCTGGGGATACCTGCAGAGGTCTGGGTGGTGCACGAAGGAAGGGACAGTTTTATTAGTGGGGCATAGAGGAGAAAAGAGAGCCCTGCAGACCCCAGGGCATACAGAGGGGTGCCTCCAGTGAGAGAGTATGGCTTGGGGTCCTGGCTCTCAAACCCCTGGGATATACAGGGGGCTCAGGGCTATGGGCCTGGCTGGGGATCTGCACATACTTGCGGGAAGAGTGTCAAAGCTTTAGAGGGCGGAGCATAAATGGGGATGGTCTTCTCTGAGAGGGCATGGTTGAAGAACACGCTTTGGAGACCCCAGGGTATAGCCAGGAGATGGTGGACAGAGCCCTGTAGACCCAGGGTGAAGCTGGGGCGGGGGGGTGGGGCACGCCTAACACTTGAGGCTACTGCTGGCGAAAGGAAGGTAGACGCCTTTGAAGTGGCCCCGCCCTGTCCCGCCCCTGGCCCCGGGACCGCGCTCACCATCTCCGGACCTTCTCAATGGTCGCCATCACCTTCTTGATGTCATCCTTGGCCCGG